AGTCCTATTATTCAGATGCGACCTTATTAACGACGTACTGAAGCTAGATGACAAACCAATTACCTGCTGCACAACGATTCATGACTTCGGAGTTCGCTACTCAAGCTCTTTCGATTTCTCCGAACAGGTATATCATGTCACCGCCAAAGCGAGATTTATCAGAGTACGTATTTTCAATACGCTACGTTTGTAAGACTCTGGGCTAGCTATGTATAAGGCATATGCCCATTCAGTATTCGCAAATTTAAAAATGTACGGCAAAATCAATTTTGAAAGAGTACAACGTTTTTACCAAACGGTTACTAGGGTTTGGATCCTTGACTGATCAACAACGGTGTAAAGTGCTGAAGCTAGAACCACTATGGTTGAGAAGAATTAAGATTAATCATATCTTCCTGTTTGATTTAGCGTACACCAGTTCTGGGGAGCCAGGTACTGTCTAGTTTGGCACTTCTCCTCAATATCTAACTAGAAATACATCATCCAGCTTTTACGTCCCTAGAGTGCGTACAAGGTTGCGCGCCAAATTCTTTCCCCTAAGGTATACAACGTTAGGGAATAAGTTGCCTGAATCCATTAGATACAATAACACAAAGTATAAACTTCGAGTTCAAGTATTCAACCACCTCACCGTAGAGGTGTTAAGTATACTGGACGAATCTACATCTCTAAACGATATTTATGAAGGATGCTTCATAGAACTTTAAAGATCCAGTCTCATATCAACCGAATTTCAAATGCAGCTTGGCTTAGGTCTCACCTTGTACATTAACTTCCGGCCCTGCTTATCCGTCCGTTTTATTTTACTATGTTATGTTCAGTGTTTTATTTGCCACACTTGGGCTACCGGATTGCCTAGCATTGGAAGGTTACGGTTCACTTCGTTTCATTGGCTCTCCTAACCGTCCTGCACTGGTTACTGATCGTCCGATTTCCTTTTTTGTCTTATTTGGGTTTGAAAAAATGGTTCACCTCTGTACTCCATATCATAACCCAGATAGTTGGTTAACTATTCCTCCGATGAAACAATATATGTGACTCAGGTTTTGCTCACTCCACTTCATCTCATCTTGGCCCTCACCATATATAAAGTTTTATCAGACATGAACGCTCCCCATCTGCTAACGTAAACACTGGCAGCTGGGTAGAATGTGAAGCCAGATCTTACTTCGTACACTATTATCAGCTTGCCCATCAATGTTTCATATTCATTTAACCTGTCCCGAAAATTAACCATGTTTCAAAGTGACCCCTGTCATCTCTGATATCCGGACTTCCAGAATTTTCGACCGCCACCGCACTCTACCTTGATCATCTTCATGTAATTCTCTCTTACCGGGACCCACTTTGCACCATGCGCCTGTTAAATCTCAGGCTCAGGGATGGGTTGAAATGTCTACCACCCATTATTTTACAGACTTGCTCTTCCACGCTTATACTATTATTCGTACTTTACTCTGGCGTAATAAAAGTAAAAAGCGTTCAGAACAACCACAGAGGGTATGGCTAGTGATGCACACAAGCCTTACTTTATGTCGCAATAATCCGGAGTATAGCTGTCATAAGGCTTTCCACCAACTCATGACCACAAATATGATTGTGCTACACCACACTTCTTAGACTTCGTTTGACAATTTAGAAATTATATTGCCATCATCTAGGTCCCTTTTCCTAGTATAGCTGCATCGCACTGAAACGTTGTCATCTACCAAACGAGGCACCTTTCGCTCTCATTGTAATTAGCGCCAGAGTCTGTTGCTATTAGGATCTTCATTATGAAGTACTTTTGGCATAAGTCTGCATTTGTAGATATGCCAAAACAATTACTGGGGAAATTACAAGAACGCTTGCCAAATTGTATATATCCTGTGCAAATCGATGTCTATATGTTTGGATAATTCATTGCCAGATATTTAAGCTGTATTGATTTTCACTGGTAATCATTTTATAGCCGTTCCTTACCTACTCGGAATCCACTACAAACTGGGACTTTTGAACATGATTTAATCGATCGATGAAGTTGGATTGCAAGTCAGCGGGAGTTTGAAAGAATGGCTCATCCACAAAAGTCCCATTTCCTCCTTCTGATCAGAATGCGCTGGTCCAGCTAGACGGGGCATCCGTTAACGGATGATATAACTCCAGCACAATCTTCTGCACTTCACCCTGAACAACGTGCATGTGTGAAAGTGACATGGATATAACATAATGCATATTTCTATCTAATATGTAGAGGGGACTAAATGAAAAAATCAGTAAATATTTTGATCTTTCCCTATGTGAGAATAGTCTCTCGCACTGTCGAAAAATAAACGCTTTAATTTTTAATTATTTAATTATTTACTTACTTGGCATGCCTTGACATTTTTCCACAACAAATGATTTCAGCTGCATTAAAATGTCCGACTTCAGTTTCTCTTGGAGTTCCCGTGATTTCCAAATTCAGTTCTGCTACTTCTTCATCAGCATTAACAAGTGCTTGTACTTTGTTTCTTTACGAAAGTAAATCAATTAGTATCCCTTGGAGAAAAGCATATTGGACTGGTTCAGTGCAAGTTACCAAGTCATCATCCATTTCAACAAACTATTTAAACGCTATTCCGTTGAATTTTGCCAACGGAGATCGTATGTCTAATAAAGCAACGGCATCCCGCTCGAGAGGCTGAACAAATCCGGCTTTACTGTATTATATCTGGCTGAACTTTGAAAAGCACCCAAGGCATTAATTGAGACAACAGATGAAGTTAATTTCGTATGAGAACCATTAAAATGCAATTTTGCCGTAGCCCATTACATGAGTTGGTCTTGGTAGTGTAATTGAATATTTCGATGTATCCTTGGTCCAGAGGTCATGTTTCAGGCAGAAGCTTAACTGCAATATTTGTGAAATTTTTTACAGCGGTGTGACTAGGACAGTTGTCCACTGTTAGGACAATGAAGTGCTCCTTCTTCATCATTTCTTTGTCAATACTTCTGATTCACTCTTCAAATATGGCAGCAGTCATTCATGCGAATTGGTTTGATCTCCAAAGGACTGGTAGATTTTTTTAGGATTTAGGTTTTTGAACTCACGTGGTCTAGCTGATTTACCAATGACCAGGGGCTTTAGCTTCTCTCCACTTGAGTTAACGCACAACAGAACTGTGAAACGTTCTTTGGAATGTTTTGCAGTTGCATTTGTCATTCTTTAAAACAAGGCTTCGGTTAGGCATCGACTTGAAAAAGGGCGCAATCGCCAGCGTTAAAAATGCCGTCATTGTTGGAACATTTTTCGATGAAGTCAAACAAACTAGTTAGGCACTTCATTGGATTCACCCCAAAAACTTTTTGGGGAACTTCATGTCAAGTAAATTTCTCTAGCCAACTGTTGGATGCCTGGGAATCTGCAACCTTTTAGCAATCACTTGAAGCATCGGCGCAGGAATTCTAGCGTCAACTGCTTTCATTTGCTTGAAGCAGTGCAGCGTAGCCCCACTGACTTTATCGTGTGAAGTTGGCCGCCTCTTCCGGTGTAGACCTCATCTTTCATTATCATATATCTCCAAGTACCCGTGTTGATGTGTTCGAATGTTGCTAACTGTTGTCTTTCTAACATCAAAATGTTCTGCCGTCTTTCTTTGACTACTGCTTTCCAGCAAATGTAGCAGGCTAGTCTTTTCCAACAAAGTCAACTATCGAACATCTTTTCGTTGGGCCATAATGTTGAATTACTCGTAATGATCGATCATAAATTGATCAAAACACGGAGTGGATCTAAGGTCTACAGTTCCATAGACGTAACATTAGTTACATATTATAAGTAACGGCAGAAGGAGAAATGGTCGACAATTAATGAGAGCGTAAACGCTAATCGCGCCACAGTCCAAGGTGCTAATAAACTGGTGTCTAAATCTGTTGGTTAATCGAGGGTTTGACAGTCCCTCAAACTTCTGACTGCGATGATTGGAGTCATGTTCTTAGGGGTAGGCAAAGGATTGCTTGTGGACTGGCGAGCGAGGTTAAACACAAATTGTTCTGGGTCATTCAGCTGGCGCGGATCTGTGGGGACCCAAAATAATCTAGTTATAATAACAGTGCGCGCAAACGCTGACGGCCGGGACAAACGCACATAGATATACACATGGAGAGCATGCCGTATCCTCAATGATTTGCGGGTCAGAACTCCACATATTGCAGTACCGCTGCCATGGGGAAAACATTGGATGGTAAGATCTCAAATGGTCAGCTTATGGAGGCTGGAATATTACTGACTGGCATGGCCCAAGCGTTTAACATACAAATTACGGAAATGATCAAGTTTGTCGCCAATGACACCTTCACCCCACGACGGCAAGAAGAAGTCCAAAGACAAGCCGGAAAAGACTTGCATACATGAAATCACATTTGCTTATATAGTTTCGAAGGCAAACTGAAGGGAAACTACTAAATTACACTTCAGCCAATCAGGAGAAAAACGTCAAATGCAACGGGCGAATGAGCAATGGTGTAATCAAGAGCGAATCGCATGTCCTTAAAAATGGTATTATGGGACCCCAAGCGTAAAACGAACATCCATTTACAGTGAAGAGCAATGGCTAATCAGAATAACCAAATGTAGCGTTTAAACAAATGTTACGAAACAAACGAGAACAAGAGATGCAGACCAAAAAAGTAAAATCTAGTACAATAAATGCGTGACAACTAAATATTCCTTTAACATAACCAAGTAGAAAAGTGATGTGGAGAAAAACCAATGGAACATGTTCTTTCAAATAGCACTGCTGAGGATGACAAGGAGATGAGGGTCCATTAACAATGTCGCGTGTGTACTAATCGGGCTAACACAGTGGAGCGTTTAAACAACAGCCAAGAAGTAGAAAATAGGAAGAATAGAAATGGCTAGTAAGCTCGTCCACAAAATGAATGTCAAATAGCTATTATTCCAAAAGATTTCGGGGTCCGGAGTCCACATATTGCAGTCCCGCTGCAAACCGTGTTGTCGGTACAAACGAGCCATACGGGAACCATTGAATGGTAAGGATTCAAATGGTCAGCTTATTGAGGTTGAAGTAGTACTGACTGTCATAGCCGAAGTGGTCAATATACAACTCACGGAAGTGATCAAGAGGTTTATTTCCAAAAGGTTTACATAGTGACCGTTCAAGATATGAAAAAGTGGTCAACATGGAGAGATAGTCAACATACAGAGGTGGCGAACTTTGGAGGTTTTACTGTATTAGGTTCCATTCTTAAATATCGAAGTGAAAGGACTATATGCTAAGCAAATACGCAAGATGTGCTCAGTAGTACGCACCACAATCGAAGTTTCTAAACGCACAATCCGCTGCAGACAAGTCGTAAACAAATTATGGTTTCAATGTATGTTGTGACCAGTGTGTGTCCGCACTTTTTGTCTATAGGAAAAAGCTCTCCACATCGGATACGATCCAAGTGTTTACACATGCTGAGTTCTAGTTCAGAGTAGACGAAGGTCCCAGGTAGATTGTATGTCGCAAAGCGAACACACGGCGATTACTCCAAAAAAAACAGGGAAACTACAGCATTTGAGCTAAGGGTTCGCTGCTAAACAATCATAATGCCCTCGGTAAGCGGAGTCAGTGAGGGGAGCAAAAGGGACCTGGTATAAGATAAGAAGGTATTCAATAAACATTCGGAGTAAAGAAAATCACGGCTAACCAACAACACACGATCACAAATGGTTGGCAATCGCACGAAAATAATGCGGCATCGGTAAGACAGTTTCATTGTCACTCAATGCCACGCGCCATCAGCCCTATTCCGTAGTTACTTGAACACCGGAGATATTATAGACAGGCAGCCCGATTGGAAGATGACAGTCACTGGCGCACGCTGCATGCCATGTCCCACATCGTCGCCAGCCGATCACAATGGGGTCCGTGTGGGCTCTAGCTTATGGAACACGGCAGACTAACGACACCCAGTTTAATCAACAGACTATTCCCCACTACCAAGTAAACGCTAGCCAAAAGATCACATCCGACCATCGGTAAACAAGACAGGTCCCTCCCTGGAAAGTGATGAGCGGGCATACGCAGAACGTACGTAAAACCAATAGAGATTATTAAGTGGTACTTGTTGTTCTAAGAAGCTACCCTGATTACCGTTACCCGGCACTCGGTGGAGTAACTCACTGCTACGGACACGCTACCGTCGTCCCATACTAGTAATAGCTGTATCGTAGTGTTGATCAAGAAACTGAAGATGCCTCAGACAGAAGGGGATCAGTTTTATGCTCAAGGAAGAGAAGGACTTCACTATGACCTGATATACATTGCCTTTCAGACCGAAAACTAATTTCTGGCACCACAGGTGCATGTCTAGTTTTTACAATACGCGAACTAACATAATCAATTAATCGTGCGTCAATGCTAAAACAGCTGTCGAGGTAGATGAATGGACCAACTAACTCAAGTTCCTCGCCGCCTAGGTTCATCTTTCCTGCGGTTAGTAGACCTGCAACAGCACTTTCTGCAATAACTGAGCAAAAGTCGTACCTTTCAATGGTCACTCCATGAGATGTAAGTCCTATCATTGTTAGAACGCTGGCAATTACTACACGATAAGCCGAAAGAAATAAAACAGCAATAAACATATTGTTCGACCAGTTGCAGGTTCCCCGGAGTTCAAATAGTGTAGCCCCTGCAAAATATTCTAGCTGGACCATTCCTGGTTGCATAGAAAATAGGCAGTGTACTTAAGTTTCAACTTTTAAATGACCCCAACTAGAACATCGATTGTTCGGTTCACCTAATTAGAGCTACATACTGATGGCCCTACCATATTAGTCTACCGCATTAACGCAGGCAGAGGCTACTTCCTTTACAAAGCCGAGTACGAATAAAACAGGTTGTCAGTGAACATTTGGATAGTGGTAAAGAAGATACAGCTTCATCAAACTTAAATCGATTCCCTTAGTACCCATACACAAAATGAGGGCAAGCATGCCGGACAACCTCCTCATGCTAGCAGCTGATGGGTCGAGATTATTATCCTATTCCAGCGAGTGGTTCGGTGGCAGTGTTCCAGAAAGTTGTGGGTTTTCGCCTGACAGGCATTCGTTCCATAAAAAGCAAAGTTGTCCCCTTACTATCCCTGTGACTGGGTGAATGTAGATAGCCCCTAAATAAAGTCTGCTTGTTGCTTTACACTGATGGAGCATTGTATCCCAGCAGCCTGCTGCTGAAATTGTGGGGAGGATTGGGCTTCTGTTTGGTAACCGACCAGACAGAAGATGTGGGAACTGAACAATCGCTTACTGACTCCCAGTGGGTGAGATTTACTGACTTTGCTCGACTGTCTTGCGCGTAGGCTCGCGGTGACGTCCCCTGAGTCAACTCCAACCTTCGACTTCGGCAACGGCGTAGTATTAAGCCCTCGGACAAAAGAATATATTTCTCTGTGTTATGTTCGGTTTTCTTGTTACGATAACTGCACATTCCATAAATTTCCAAGATGTTGATGCTTCCATATCTATCAGCGAACTGTTGAAGAAAAATATCTATGAAATGACGGCCGCTAGTAATTGGGTCTGGCCAAGTCTAGTGATGGACTCTTGCGAACACAACATACCTAAGCTATCATATCTGTCTTATTCGTCTCACTCAGCGCTTATATTGGGAATACCAAAGCACGTAATCGGATGCAGTTGTGTCGAGGAAGGACCTCGGAAGGCAGAAAAATGAAATAGAACGGATATCACGGTAGTTACCATCCCAAATATCAATCAAGCAACTGACAGAGCTGGTCATTCACGCTTCCATGTACGCAACATTGCACTCACTCAAGTGAACAGAGATAACGTGAGTTTTGAGGTGACCTTTTTGAAAAAACTTTTTTCCACAGTATTCACATTTGCGAGCCCGCCGTTCTGGAAAAGAAAATAGCATGCCATCAGGCATGCACAACAATAGTGAATAAACAATCGTATAGTACACAGCCACAATAGCATAACTTACGAGATGTAGAAAACAAAGTGTATAGGAATAGGGGGAAAATTCAGCCCAACGATTTCTCGCTCTCACAATGATCATTGGTTGCAGCGGACCTAGAGAATCGGCCAAGCCTCACGTATTTATACAGTACCGGAACTGCATCTACTCCAGTAACCAGCTGTACAATGAGTATTTGGACAATACATCAATAAGAGTCCACCAATGTGTGGTGTGCAAACGCTGATCGACCTGAGAACCGCATCGTGAAATAGTGCTGAACTTGTGACAGCTGAATGTGGAGACAGGACGTGTTGCATCTGGTGAAAACTTGATCTATCGATGAAGGTTGAATAATAACGTTTATGTTATGGTGTGATTATCACAGTGAGTTGACAAATGTGCGGTTTAACTTGGTGGCAATATTTTAATTTGCACTACTTATGTAACCCATTAAGAGCATGCTACGAGGATCACCAAGTATCAGCTTCTTAGCTGGTATTATACCGTTTTTCTAAAAGGTTCCAGAGATAGGAGTACTTAGCAGATGAAAACTGGCAAAGTCGGTTGATACTGGTGAAGCAAAGGTACAAGTTCAACGGTTTCAGGCAAAACGCCGAACATGGTGCGGTGAATGTTATGCATTCCGCAGTCGCAAATCCAACGGGTGAAAATGGTTAAGCGTGGTAATCAGACACTCAATACTCGGATAGCGTTCCGTACACTCGTAGAGAATAGTTTTTAGTGAAATTCTTTCACAATGCTCTCAACCGCAAGTAAGCAAGAACGTGGTCGTTGGCCAAACCGGATAGCTTTGGTAACCAAAGCAAAAGGAGCTGAGATTGAGAGCTCGAGTCGGGGATACATGTTTACTTATTTTAAGTTATGTCCACGAAAGGCACAGCACCTTGGCTGTTTCATGACTTATCAACTAGGCGTCTCAAAACTGTAAAAACAACCGGTCAACATTGGTTGCAAGGTCGGTTTTTGTTCCATTCTGTCGACTTGTCACTTTAGGAACTTCATAAATAAAAACGCTAAAATTGAGACAGCCATTCATCTAGCTATCTCTAGTTTTATGCGAAGTACAGAGAAAAGCACATTCCCTCCATATTAATTTTGGCATAGAAATCTTCGTTCAAGTTACCCTGTTCCACATGCAATAGGTGGAGAAATTCCGGTTCGTTTCGTCTTAAGAATAGATTCCATGTAGTTGACTTAGAAGGGTGAAAATCATAGTTGATAATGGAAAGAGAGCAATTAGGGGGAGCTATCAGTAGACTATGAAGCGCTGAAGATTTGAGGCCAATACCCTAAAGCCGATATGTTCACCTGACTTCATAAGAGCGTTGTATATGTTATCAGAACAAAGCGCTAGTCGTATGAGACAAATGACGGAACATCACAGCAGTCGATCGCGCTAAGTGTAGCACATGGTCAACGATGGATTCCAAACAGGCCGTCATCACTGCTCCGATTATTATTATTAAGTACGACTGATCATAGCTCGGTTGGTTTGCGATTTGTCGTCACTCTTAGTGCTCCTGTGGATCAGAAAGTTTAGAAACGGACAAATATCTATATACGATTCTAACTCCAAGGTTAAACTTAGTGCCTAGCCAAATTAGATTGCTTCTCAAAATCCCTCTTGTATATTTGTATGACGCTGCGCCACCGTACGCTCCGAGCATTTCGGATGTTACATAGGGCTTTTTCCCCGAGTCTGTTATATACATGTGAGTTAATAACGGTGGATGTATAGATTCTTACCAATGCCTTGTCCTTGAATCTTAAAATAAGACATGCAAAGGTGTAATGCAAATCCTTCGTTTATTCGAGAGAGTTTAAGACCTGCTCCTCCATCGTCCCCAAGCAGAAAGTTTGTTGCTACTCCTAACGGCTCTCTTGTGATGAAGATCAGAATAATTAGAAAGCTGACTATTTGTTTGTTGAAATTGATGAGCAAATTGCGCACCACCCGTAGGCTTCTCAAGAAAGTATTCTTGGTCCGATTGGGAGCTGTTAGATTCGCCAGGCACCTAGTAAGCAATTGAATGTAGAGGGAGTTACGTCGTCGAGTTCAGGCAAGTTAGGGATGTCGGACCCATAAATCTTCAGTGGACAATAAACAATAGGTGGCAGAGTATATTCGTAGCATCACATATCGCGTCTTCCGTGGCTCCTCACGGTCCTTAAGTAATTAACAGTCTGTTTTAATTGTGTTCACCAATAATCTCGCTTATTTTCGTCCAACCATCTTATACGGTCTCGTTGTTGAATATTCCTCCATTTTTCCGAGTAACGTTTCGTCAACTACCACCGATGTTCAATCTTCATGGGCCTTTGCAATGCCATTGTGATGACATTCCATTAGAGTCCGGTTGGTTCAAGATACCGTTTCCTAGTTGTTGAAATCTGCTTGAATCAGCTACCTGGGTAAGCAAGTTGCCTGTTTTGCAATGCCAGTTTTGGTATTACAATGTCCAAACCCGGAATCTCCTCTTGCTCGTAGCTTAAACCAAGAGTACAATTCAAAACATTTTCCAATGCCTACGTTCAGGTACGCTTAATACGGGCCTGCGGGGAGGTATTAACTTTATGCAAACAATTGCTGCCATATACATACCTTTCTGTATGACTATCAGCACTGTTATTTTAGGCTACGACTAACGAAGTAGACAAGGTGACTCGTAACTCTAAGCTCAGATGTTAATCAACATCTAGCTGTCAAGCAGATCCGCTATCTGAGAAGTGCTTTGCCCGTACCGTAGAATGCCCATGCCGATTATTTCCGGACCATTCTGAAATTTCTATGAGACTGGGTATGTCTGACCAATGGATGCTCGCGGTCGTTAGCGCTACCTAGACACCGGACAAGAGAAAGAAGCGTAGAGAACCCCAAAAGAAGAGCTAGTAACAGGCCAGAGTATGCAAGTAAGCAAGAAGGAAACTAGTGTTAATGTGCGATGTTCAGGATGAGCAGTAGCAAAATATTTGGCATATTTTCTGGTAACTGACAACATCGATCACACACGGTTGATGAAGCTGTACGTACATATAGTTGATGCGATTGGCTGGTGTTGACAAACTATGGAACAAACAAATAAGCGAACAAGAATTTATAAATAAGTCGACAATGATCGTTCCCTCAATAGAAACTAACAAATGAGTCAACTCATTTGCTCAAATACCTCTCTAAAAGAAGGACCTAGGGGATTACTCGTTAAAATGCATGGGAACAAGAAGCGGGCAATGTGGTAACTTACACTGCGAAAAATAAGTTGTTTCATGTGCAAAATAACTTGTTATTCGCGTCAGCCATTGCTTTCACAGGTAGTCCACTGGCTTAAGTCGCTGCCCCATTGAGTCTGAGTAATTGGTGCGAGCCGCATAGAGATCGAAGGCACATTTGCCACCAACAATTCACACAAGGTATCAGTAATTCGCTGGTACACCGTGTCGATGTTATACTGCCACGCAATCACCACCAGTCGAGCAAGGGTTGGATATATTGCAAGATAGTTCGAAGGAAAGCAGATTGGAATTGGCGATCTTAAGATTATACAGCGGGTGCGCAGGACAGTGTTTATCACCAAGTGCGGAGTCTGGTAAGCCGGGTATGGTTGTGAGGAACATCCACTGGATGTACTTTGGACGGAGGACAAGTAATTTACCTCCGTGCCCCCCAAAATATACAAAACAGTTAGACGTCGTGCAGTAATATACACTGCAGCATCTAAATAAGCAGCACAATTGGAGCCATTAAGGTAACCAACGTTTGGCGGCGGCAATAGTGAGAAATAATGTACATCAGTCTAACCTGAGATCCAACTTTAAACTCACTTAAATGAACAACACGGATGTGTTTTCGCAGAGTACTTGGAACTGAAAATGATTCGTTGCAGTGGTCACACGTGAAGTTCCGCTGACCTGAAACAGAAAACCGCCGACGATACACTAAGAGAAAAGACAGGCAAAAAGCAGTCTCCTTATTCATAGAGTTTTCTCCAAATGGTTTAATGATCCACAATGATAACAGAAATCCTAGTATCCGAGATCAACTCAGTAGTCTCAAACCATCAGCTGTCAGTGCAGTGGGCACGGGGTATCCTAAAGGATGACAAACCTGCTGGAACCATGTAGAAGAGTCTTATGAGCTTTGGGCTAAACTGAATAGTGCGAACTGACAGAGAAGCCTAGTGATCTCAGAGAACTGCTCGAGAATTATCGGGAGGGCAGCGACTGCGACAAAACACTGTGGACTTTTCCAACTAGTATGCCGCACTGGTTCCAATATATCATTCGTCAGTGAAACAGTCAGGTAAAGTGATGGTGTTCTAAATAACAACGGGCAGCGTAATCTGGCTCACTGCGCATAATGTTTGACTACAAATCTGCGTCGTACTCATTTCCGCTGATTTAACCAACTGACCCAAGTGTGTTTTTGCAAGAATACGTGATTCCCAGTCTGGAGACAGACTTATGAGAGTTTTACCCAAACTCCGTAATTCGTTCTTCGCATCTTTCATGAACTCCTTAGCACTGATTCATAACCTAAGCTTCAGACGCAGCCGCAAAGCCGCTGGTTATGCCCTGATGAGGATTGTGTTGAGCATAGGTGCAAAGCTAAGGCAACTTGATGAAATTTCATTCAACAGCCAACTCCACACAATTCGACTGCTCCGCTCAGTTTGACCAACAATTCGAACAGTTGCTAGACACTATCTGTTCATTTGGTGATACGTACTCATGAGTGTCAGAATTCAATGACTGGCACCAACATGATACCTGAGGACATTCATCGCCCGGTCAACCATGGATGCAAACGGACCACAGCACCACCTGTCCCCTATGGTGAAAGTGATCAAGAGATAGGATATGAGTATAGAGAACCTATGCTGCTTTGGTACGTAAACCGATGTGTGCCAAGGTGGATTTGCCTTTTGCAGAGCCCAACGACGTGGTGAGAAACGGTTCAAAGTAACAAATCTCTCCACTCCCAAACGTTATCAGCGTTTCTTTTAAACCTTTAGAGCCTCTCATTCTCAGTCGCCCAGATGCACTGAGCACACAATCACACTGTCCTGCAAAAACCTGCTACCATAGCCCGTGGTCCACTACAAATACAGTCAACCACTGAATCGGCGCACCTAAACTCCAACTTCTTGAACGATTTCCGCTGGTAACGATTGCAACTACATTCTTGTGCACATTGATTGAAACAAACTACGATTGTGTCTCTTTTTCTATGAATATCATGTTTTTATACATGAAAGCTGCCGTTTTGCATTTATTTTTTTATTTTATTTTGGGAATAGATATTTCATCATTGTTTGTGAATCAGACGATGTAATAACTGCGCATGTCTAGTCGTTACATCACCCAAGATTGCATCAAACTTTTTATGCTTAGTAAGGTTTTTGTTTCAACTTCTTGTTTTTTGTGATTCAGTCATTGTTTGATATAGATGTGACTCCCAGAAGGCGCATGAAGATCGTGACCTTGCACGAACACACAGACAAGATCTATAGGGACATAGCAAGAATAGTAGGCGTCAGTCCGGCAACCGTCAGCCGTGTGGTCAAAAAGAAAAAGGAAACGGGATGCATTTCGCCAAAACGCAAAGGGAAATGTGGTCCTAAGAGGAAAACCACTGCCAGGGATGACGGTTACCTAAAACGGGAAAGTGTTAAAGATCCTCGAAAGACGAGTGACGCATTAAAACGTGATTTGGGGGAGAAAGGAATAGAAATCAGTTCTTCAACGGGATCTGGCCCCGTGCCACACATCAAAAATGGTCAAGACTTTTTTCAATACTAATCAAATAACCATCTTGGACTGGCCTGGGAATTCACCAGATTTAAACCCCATTGAAAATATGTGGTCTATTTGCAAGCAACGCCTTCATGGCATGGACTGTACGACAAAGGAGAAACTTATTCAAGCTTTAATTCAAGTTTGGTACAGGGACCCAAGATGTTGAAATACGCCAGATCCGTCAGGAAATGTCTTTTTTAGTTCTGGAACAGCTCTTCTTTGGTGAACTTCTATATATTGTGGAGAGCGCATCATGCCCTGGACTGGATGCAAGGCGCCGACGCCGTAATAACTAAACCCCCCCCAAAACATCTGCTTTTGTGGGTGTTTCACAAAGTGGTCAATGTGGGAATCACGAACGTTTTCTCCCTCTGACCTCCGAACCTACTGACTTCTCTGACCATGAACATAGAAATGGCTTTCATCGATGAATAGGACTTTTCTCCAATCTTCTTTTGTCCAGTTTTTGTATTTTAGTCCCATTTGTAACGCTTAACTTTCATTACTTTTGTCAGAAGTTGTTTTTTCACAGGCCGTCTGGCTTTCCGACCAACTTCCAGGAGTCGCCTGCGAACCGTTGAAGAACTGATTTCTATTCCTTTCTCCCCCAAATCACGTTTTAATGCGTCACTCGTCTTTCGAGGATCTTTAACACTTTCCCGTTTTAGGTAACCGTCATCCCTGGCAGTGGTTTTCCTCTTAGGACCACATTTCCCTTTGCGTTTTGGCGAAATGCATCCCGTTTCCTTTTTCTTTTTGACCACACGGCTGACGGTTGCCGGACTGACGCCTACTATTCTTGCTATGTCCCTATAGGTCTTGTCTGTGTGTTCGTGCAAGGTCACGATCTTCATGCGCCTTCTGGGAGTCACATCCATATCAAACAATGACTGAATCACAAAAAACAAGAAGTTGAAACAAAAACCTTACTAAGCATAAAAAGTTTGATGCAATCTTGGGTGATGTAACGACTAGACATGCGCAGTTATTACATCGTCTGATTCACAAACAATGATGAAATATCTATTCCCAAAATAAAATAAAAAAATAAATGCAAAACGGCAGCTTTCATGCATAAAAACATGATATTCATAGAAAAAGAGACACAATCGTAGTTTGTTTCAATTAATGTGTACAAGGATGTATATGCGTGAAACCACTAAGGATCGACTCAGACGGCTCCTGAAGGAGAACCGAGACACCAGGTGGATTCAGGGTGTCACTTTCGTAAGTTACCACTCAAGCGACTGGACCAAAGTGGTCAACATACAGAGGTCTGGATGTTTGCATGGCAAAGGTTCAAGCAATGAAAAAGAAAACGGTCAAGTTAGAGGTACAATCCACACGAGCCGGAATTGCAATGATCATCAACTTGGGAACCGTCAAATGCTACTATACCGTCAAAATGTCGATCAGTCAACAATGGGCGTCTTTTTAACACAAGAGCCGTGCTTGCCACAGTTGACAGATTCGTTCGCTGGAGAATAAGAGTCTAGGAGGAAACTTAACATGCTCCGATTCGTTTAATTCTTCATCATCGGCGCTTGTGTGAGTATATAACCATCCTATGCATTCCCTTCGACAGTGCGCGACAGAGCTCTAATGCAACTCTCTAGTAGGCTGGGAATTGAAATGGTTCGGCGACACCGACCTTGTGACTCGAAGTAGGCTGACGTCTCAGCAATTTGCGATCTTTCGTATGCCAAGGAAAATATGCTATTTAAGTTGAGTGTGACTACCTCAAGGTTCGCAGGGATATCCATTGTCTCGAAGTGCGAAGTCCTCCTGCATGAGTAACCAATTACTCCTACCATCACTCACTTCGGAGTACCCGCAAGAAATGATCGATGAATTTGTTCTCATTGGAAGTAAACGCAGTGTAGATGATTTAAGGAATGATGTTTCTTCACGCGCTTCTGAAGCCGGATTATTGTCGCAAATCCTCACAACGCTTGGAGACGAAGTTACCTCAGCATCTTTCTGAAGAGTTGAGGTCCCGAGCAATTTTGTACTGCGATCGCGAGACTTGATACACAAATGGAGGAAAATTCACAAGTGGCATGCTTTATCACCACCGCCTTTGCTGGTGAAAGGTGGATACAACGCACTGTTAGTGATGAATGTTGAAGTCGAACGGACACTGTCCACTGCCTAACCACATACTTTTATCGCATAGGTTTCTGTGGGTTGCGCTCGTGTTTTGCATGTCTGCACAGTGGTTAGCTTTTCCCACCGATGCCTGTGAGTGATCGTAATTGGACCAACGCATCACACGGGCTCAAAGCACAAGGGCTAATCAAACATTTGGTCGCAGTTAGGCGCACTTGACGGTAAGCATGGGATCTGTGGCAATCAGAGGCATAACTTCTATCTTCTATAAATAATTGCACTCAAGCTAGCCATATTTAAACACCTCAACATAAGTCCACATTTATTTGTTTTGGTTCGAGATGTGTTTGTTAAGTGAGTTGGTGTACTGACGTCTGATATCGCTCGTTCCAGTCGCTTGCGTCCCATCACAGCAGTCACAAATAAAGCACGCCGTGTTGGGAATAATTAGATTTCTGATAATGGCACTCGAACAGGGGCCCTCTTTAAAATCGGCATTTGCAAGCTATACAGGACCAGAAGACTAAGAGTAGACATGGTTGGAAATGCTCCCAGACGTGATCAAAAACAGCACAAAATAACAGATTTGTAGTGAGGTCTCAATAATCGATCTGGTGATATCCTCCAGTAGTATTGCTCTTATCCTTGTGCCATTGTAACGCGCGAAAAATAGAGCAAATAGCGAAGTGTAATATCACAAGTATAAATTTGCATGCGCATATGCATGCTGGTGACGAATACCTTGTTCTGAATCGGTAGGTACGACCGATTCCCCAGTCGTAGATCTGCAACAGTCGTCCAAAGAGCTCACAGAGGAGGATTGCTCAATTTTGTATGGCTTCTTGACAGTAGACCGGGCAATAGAACAAAATGTGTCATTCAACCGAGGATGCAGTAGAGTACCAACTTTATCCTCCTTTGCAGATGGCACCAACGACTGTGTTTCTGCAGGCTCAGGTTTCGGTCTCAGTACGCAAACACTCAAAGGTTGCTCAAACTGTAGGTTTTGCGCAGCTTCTTCCTGAAAAACAAAAAGCCAGATTACATGAGTAATCCAGTTATCCTCGAACTTAGACGACCATACACTCGTAGAGCTGAAAATCAAACCCAGTCAATGGAACTATAATAGAGTAAAAAGTAATCATTATACCCGACCATAGTGAACACTAGGCTCACGTTTAAAAAATCCCTCGTTATTAGGGTACAAAAAACCTGCTCACACTGCTGATAAAGCAAGTGGACGAAAAGTTGTTCCGTTGGTGAGTCGCCACCCCAACAATGGCAGCAAAAAGTACGTCGCGCATAGGCGCTGAAAGCTTGTTTAACCCTAGTTGGCGACATAACTCTGTCGAGGATATTAAACTTAGAAATACAAGATGATACAAAAACTCTTCTGGTGACTATATAAACGCAGCTCAAAAAAGTAACAGCAATGAATTTACGACTACATTGTGGATGTAGTGTAAAAACATCCCTAGCAACAATTTCAAATGAAACAGTACATCAGCACTCAGCATCAATGCATCTCTACCATACAACAATGAAACAAAGTGAGTGACTCTACTAACGTCATCATCATCATCAATACACTTAAGCGAGATCAACGTATTAAACATATACCAACACCTTTCGAACACAAAGTGTTAGCCAAGGTATGAAGAAAAGTCGGAATCATGTTTTAGACGACTTAATAAGCAATAAAACCCACATTCATGTACGTACGATGAAAAGGCGAACATGTTTGTGTAGTCGAAGGAGGGTACTACAGAGCAAAAGCGATAACCACACTTATGCGAGAAAAAGATTAGTGTTCGATGGAGAACTAGGTGGTAAGCTTATAGGAATGTGATTTAAGCATATTTCCTTCGGACAAGGACGCTCTATCAATACGACCGAAAAGTTCCAGTTGGTGATGGTGGAAAGGTGATAACAATCCAACTTTCTGAGCCCCATAGTAGTGTGGGTTTTCAGTTACCAATTTGAACCACCGGCATTGTCAAAACACCAATGATAAGGCCTGTGTGACTGAGTAAAATACGCATAGTAGGCGGTTAAAGGGTAAATACAGGTGAAATAGTGCTACAATGACCAGATGAATTTATCTCATCGAAACACTGCACGCAACAGGTTTGAAATTCTCAATAAAAATGCAATCAGATAAATACATGTAGTTCACTATCAGAGTAATCGGACATGCAATTAACAACTGTACGCGGATGAGTTCAAGTTATAGCCGGTAAAGGATCAGAATACAGGCACCGCGAACGCGCGGTCTGGTAATGCAAGTGGGACACGAGTAGGCAACCGATGGCATAAAACGGGTGAAGGGCAAACACTGGGATTTCGCAAATTAAATCGCTTTCGATAACTAGCTTCAATATCAACAGATCCGGTAGTGGTCAGATAATAGCAAGGTAGCAACCATGCATTACTATTGTGTACTGACGCTTCGCCGTAATACATCCGTTTCCAACAGGCCGCGATACAGTTAGAGTGCCTTAACACTTGTCAGTGACGTTTCCTCATTTTCTGTTTCAGTTCTTTTTAACGAATCATCTCGTGTTTACCGGTAAGTCCAGTGTTGATTTTATCAACCATGTCACCAAAGAAGTTGGGTCGCTTTTTCAAAGCAGGGTGCAATTTCTCATAGTACATTCGGTTGAAACTCAGCGCTTGCAATGAGTTTATATTCCACTCCGTGTCGCCCTACACTGTCTCTAAAGCACACGTGTAGTGAAGTGAAAACTAGTCTTACACTACCGCACCAGAAGGAAAGGATTAGTGTCAGATAAAAGTAGCAACACGCTGACCTTCAGTAGTGACGGTTGGACTAACTCCACTGATATTGCACACTCCCTGATACAATATTCCCGTGTTGGTTCCGCGAAGCTCAGACTTTCCAAGCACACCAACAAAGCAATCGCAACACGCCGCCGCAGGAAAGCAGAACGCGCCGTTCGAGGTCGAGAATTGTGTATATGAAAAAACGAGCAATTAAAACAACTGTACAAGACGCATAGGAAAAGGAAATGAGAAAAGTGCAAAAAATGAAAAAGCTATGAACACTACAGGACTCCCCCCCTAGAGCGTGAGTGGGCAAGCGAATGCTCGAAATGTACGCCTCACTGATTGTAAAACGCTAGTTTAGAAGGAAGGACCACCGTACGACCAAAACGTGTGCGTTTGTGTGTGTGAGTGGTTGCAGGGGGAGCTGCAGAGGGTTGCGAGGGAAGGACACTGGGATCACACATAGGCTGTGTAGGGGGATTGCTCGGCGATGGATCGTCTTCGGGAACAGATGCGTCTGAAGATTGCTGAGACGGAAGAGGTTCGATGTAAGCGGGTTTCAAACGATCGAGACTTACAGAGTCTTT